TGGCTTCTGAAGATCCTGATTTAAAGCTGAACTTTCATGAAATGCTTATCTCAGTAACTTTTGAAAGGACAATTACCATGAATATATTTTTTTCATAGAGAAAAGGCAATTTTCCGATTGACGTGAAAAGAACCATGCATATGGTATGCACTCTTATCCTTTTCTATTTTAGAAGCTTACGTCTTCTGTTGCCATTGTGTTCTACATGTACGGCATGCTCTCGTTCCCGCTCTTCTTCATCTATCGTACAATGGTCCTTGTGAACAGGTGAACACATATAAAGATTCAACAAGAGTTATCTTAAGGCTACGATATGTAGTATTTAAGATATCTAAGTCCATATTTAGCGCAGCACTTGGTCAATATTTCAACAAACGCAATCTTCTAATTACTTTTGCGGTAATTTTCATCTTCTGCTGCCTGGAAGGTGCATGCCTATACTATTCTAACATTCCTTACGAGGTATGACTACTTTAGAGGTTTTCCATAAAAGGCACACATGGAAATGTTTAGGATCTTTCCGAGAGATTGAACAAAACTTCAAAAATCATGCAACACTTTGACCAGCAGTACAAGGTTCCGGAACAGGCTATACCACATCTCACAGACGGGGCTCAGACTACTCCAGCTACCCTCCACAACATATCTGGAGTGATCCCGGTTGCTGAAGACTTTAAGGTATATAGGAACAGTTACACCTTTGTGGTAGTCTCTTGCAGCCCCGATTTGCCTCAACGTTTTGATTGCAGCGATATCTGGCCTTGACTGGAGATGACTACACAAGAAATCCTCTTATTCTGTACTTTTATGGTATAGCGGTTGTGTCGCACGCCTTATCTTACCTTATCATTCTGATATCTGCGCACTTCATGATGAATACACTCAGAGAAAAGCAGGTAACTTTACTTATGTCGTCTGAATGAGTAGTATATTCGCAGAAGAATGCCAGATGGCATCTAATTATGTTAGCACTAACTAGTGCCTAACCAGTTGTCGGATGCAAAAAATTCTCTTGAAAAAAGAAGCAAAGGAAAAAAAAGGGGGTAGAGGAGGACACGATGCAATAGAGGGAAACCTACTGTGACAAGAAGGGGGCCAGTCTGTATTCAAAAATGTGTTGAAATCGGAGGTAGTATGGATGGTGACCTAAGCGATCAAAAGCGTCCACAGATTTGCAACCTCCCTTTTTCATCACAGCTAATTCTGTTTATTTTTATGGATTATTCCCCACCAAAACAAAATAGATGAGTGACTATCAAATATGTAAAATGTGAGGTAGGAAACGCATGAACTTAGAATGAGAAAAATGAAGCAGTGCGACAGATTAATATTTCCACGAGTCTTCTTGTTTTACTCATAAACGAAATCAAGAACCTGCCATATTTAGTGAGAAGAAAGTTCCTTTGTTAGAATTACGTAATGGACTTTTTCCACCATGTAAAAATCATAAATTGTCAAGCTCAAGTAAATTCATAATTTATGCGCTTTACGTTGCTATAACACATCAGACATTAAATTGAAAAATTTGTACTAGGCATCCCAGCATTTGGAACTTTGAGGTTGTTGTTTATGGGGTTGTTTATCTCTCTGATCTTAACTCTATTTAGGGAACAATGTCACTCGACACAGTTGTTGCGAACGAAGTGCTCGTTCACGCTGTGTTTGCTGAAGCTTTTCTACCGTTGATGTTTGCGTTGCCGGTTGCTGCTAACGCGATGCTCTCGACCTTTTATGAAAGAAGCCTGTAAGTGACAATATAACTCTCATGAGAAAGCACTAACAATTAGAGCACAATCGCGTCAGGAAACTAACATTGAGCTTAGTTACTGATAACGCTAGTTGGAGAAGCATTGCAGCTGCCTGGAGCGGAATTTCTGACCCTCCCCCCAGCATCTTTCTCAAAAATGATTCAAAAACAGATAAAAAATGAAATTCAGTTGGTGCTCTGTTAGGTTAGTTGGGTGAATGTTAGATAGGAGCAAAGGCGGTCACGATTTCCCTGCAAACTCAATTGTAAGTAGATCCATTAAGGATTAACGTTAGCCGTGCTTTCTCAGTATTTCTTACGAGCAGCAATCATCCTTCCGGACTATTTGGTTTATTTTACTAAACCGACACACCCGCTTAAACGTTGAGAGGCGAAACGTCAAAATAGTTTTTGTCAAAAAATGAATGGTTTGAGAAACATATAAGATATATAGAGCTTTTTCTTTTTA